GGCATGGTGCTGAACGCTGAGGGTCTGGGAGTGAGCTGTGAGCTCCCTGCCCTTGGGAACTCAAAGTCTAGCTACAGAAGCCCCAGGTGAGCTCTAATTAAAGCAGTTTGAGGAGTGCACTGCTAGAATAGGCAGCAGGTGTGGTGTCTGCCTTGGCAATGGCCCTCCCGCCAGAGCATGGGGCAGTCAGAGTCTCCTTTCAGAGCCGATGAATGTGCTGTCTTCTTAGGAGGCAGAAACCAGACTCCAGGACTCTCGGGAAAAATTCACAGCATGTGGACAAGCACTCAACAGACATAGTGTCAGCAGTACAGGGTCTTCAGAAAGTTGGTGGAAAATGCATGTGATGAAAAAACTGTGCATGAATTTCAATTGCTTTTGCCCCAAAGTGAACTTTATCTTTTGATTCCATTTTCCACAAAGATTTTTAAGTACCTTTTAGGTTCTGGGTCCAGGATAGAGAGCGCATAAGCAACAAAGCTTGCAGCAGACCAGTTCAGCACTCTGAATTTTATCCTCAACAACGCAGAAGGGCCCAAGAAAGGGTTAAAAGGAGGGAAATGCTATGACCTCATTTGCATTTTAGGGAGACAATTTCTTGGCAAGAGTGGAAAATGACTTACAGCAGTAAATTCTTAGGAACCTATGTGACTAAGTAAACATTAATAAACTCTCGACTGAAATCCTAGCAAAGGGAGTGGAAAGAGAGGGAAAGAGCATAGAAACTCTGGGGAGAGGTCAACAAGATGCCTTTGCTAATTGTGAAAAATAAGGAAAAAGTGGGAAGCATGCATGACACCTGAGTTTCTGGCCCCCAACTCCAAGCTGGCTGCGGAGGGTGGAGGTAATTATTTCCCAAGATGGAGGACAAAAGGAAGGAGACAGGGGAGAAACCCAGTGGGTTCAAGTGGATTTGGATCCAGGAAGCTGGGCTGAGTCAAGATGCAGATTTTGGGTGGAGCGGAGAAGTGAACCATGAGGCGGACAGGCTGTAATCTAGAGGCCCAGTACCCCAGTAAAGCCACCTTTACCCCAGAACTCTATGTTTTAAACTGGATCACGTCCTTCTAGGCATATTTATCACAGTGGAAGCACAGGATACATTTTACTGACCAGCTCATCCATCTAATCCTATAATCATGCAGACGGGTAGGGTGGAGGCCTCTGTGCTCCTCCCTTGGGCTCCACAAACAGCAGGATGGAACCTGGCAGAGACAAAGGCTCGAGACATCTGCCTACAAGGAGGTGGCAAGAGGGAAGGTATCAGAGGAGAAAGGGAAGTAGGGGAAGAGGTTTTTGCTTTTTTTTTTTTTTATGAAGCTGCCATCCACATGAAGCATGTTATCCACAAGAGAAATTTTCCAGGAAAACAAGAGGGAAAGATCCAGGGAGACAAGAAATTCTGTGGAGCTCCCCCAAAGAGGCATGAGAGCTTGTGATTTTAAGAACGAGTGGTGGCAGGTGTTAGCTCAGGAGGGCAAGGTGGCGCTCATCCTCCTGTATAGGAGAGCCGATCTGAGGAATGAGGGGCAGACTAAGGGCCAGGGAACCGGGAGGGGGAGAGCTGAACACTTAATAATTGTCGGCATGTGACTCTCCATCTTTCCAGGGGCTCTGCCAATTATTAACTAAAATGAGAAGTAAAGAATTTTAATTACTTGGGGGAGAAAATTAGTAGTCAGTTCCAGTAGACTCCGTTGAAACAAATTTCGTGCCTTGCCTTAAGAAATCTGAATTTAAGTATTACTGCAAGAATGGTTTTACTGTTTCACTGGGAAAAAAAGTGACTAAATGTCAGATCAATGCGTGTAAACTAATTCACTCAAGAAACCCAGTACTAGAATTCTCAAACTTTTACAACCCCTCACTCACTACTCAAGAACCCCTGCAAAGTTCTAACCACCCAAACCAATGTCCATTCTATTCCTTCAAGATTATAAACAAATTATTCTGTATATACACTTTATAAGATCAAATTTAAAATATTCAGATCAAATTTAAGAGTAACATTTCATAATTTCCCAAAGCCTGAAAATCGGTAAGGAACTGAGTCATTCAAGGCTCTTTGGTAAATGGAAATGGAGCCATTGACCTGCTAATATAAGTGAAAGAATTAAGATTGATTTTGGACTTCAAGATTTAAAAAGAAAACCCCATTTTAAGAATGCTCAATTTACAAAATTCGATTTCCATATACAGGTATATCCACAGACATGCTGGACATCACGTGGTCCCACACAAAGGGGTAAATTATGAATGTGAACAGGGGAAAACCATTTCCATGCTTGGAGGTAGCTCTGTCTTTAGAATGGGACCCACAGATTTCACCCCAAATTCAGTCAGTCCCATTTCCTCTTCTTCCTGAAAAGGGTCTTCAGGGACAGCAGGGAGCACTAGGTTTCAGAATTCAGACTAACTCATTTCTTATAGAAAACATGTTTCATGATTATTACACCCCTACATTAGATTGCAGAAGTCTCCCTCATGGATAGCATAAGTAAAATAAGTCTGAACTCTCCCTGTGGAAAGATGCATTCCAAGTTCCAAACAACCCGCTTTTGGAAACAATTCATTGCTAAGTTGGGGGAGCTCGGGATGCTGCTCTTCATCTCCTCTCCTGCTTTGTTCAAGGTGTGATAGAATCCCTCTCTTGCCCTGTGTAGGCAGTCACTGAACAGTGAGGGCTCACTTTACAGGCTCTCAGAAATCAGCAGGCCACCAGAAGATTGAGTTTGAGCCTATCCTAAGAAACCATACGAGGACATCTTTTGCTTTCTGGTTGTTTCATAGCCTGCACCTCGACACAACCATCCCTCCTTGCTCTCCCTGACATCCACACTAACGGGCCAATTGGGGAAACTGCACTTGAAAGCAGAGAGACTGTTGGAATGGGTCTTACCTGCAGTTTCCCAAATGGAAGATAATGAAGGTTTGGGGAAAAAAAGGAGAGGAATTTGGGGCAAGGTTGGCTAGTAACAGGTGCAGTAGAGGTTGAATCCAGAGGGCCCATGGGGTGGAATAGGGGCATGTGGAAGGGTTGAAGACCTCAAAATCTGTTTTCCCCTCCCCAGCTCCCCTAGGCTGGGTGCTCTCATGTCCTTTATTCCCCTGCAGAGCCTCTCCAAGATACAGTCTAAGCTGCAGGAAGATGGAATACAAGTTTGGGTCATCTCCTATTCCACTTGTATCTAGGTGTGGCAGCCAGCATCCTGCAAACTTATCAACACATGTCTTAATGGCCAGAAGTGAGCCCCACAATTCCTCTTAGAGCAATAGCACTAAGAAGGACTTCAGAACCCCTTTCCCTCAATCTCCTTGATCAGTACCCATCCTTCCTGACCTCCACGCACCCTGGGAGTAGTGCACTGTGAATGAGTCACTCCTCTCCTGAGTCTACGTCACAATGCTGAGCCCTCCAGCCACAGATGTGAGACCGGCCTCCTGAATCATCACCTGAACCAATTCCTTAATCAAATGTCTTTCAGTATGCACACAGCACATTGGTTCTGAAGAAATTTCATCCTTAGTCGCCAGGTTTTTTTTAAAAAAAATTTATTTATTTGAAAGAGTTACAAGTCACAGCAAGACAGAGAGAGACATACACAGACTCAACATGGATGGCAGAGTTCCAGGTACTTGAGGCATGTTGCACTATTTTCCCCAGGCATCCGGCAGGCAGCTTGATCAGAAGTGGAGCAGCAGGATATAATCCATCACCCAGATGGGATGCCAGCATCTCAGACAGGGCACAATGCTGGCCAGGGTTTCAAGAGGATATACCATGGCTAGTACTGGGAGTTCACTGGAGATCCTGACTAAGCAACTGCCAACTCCCTGGGGAAGGCACAGAGGGAGAGTCAGGAGGTTTGATCCATGACTGAGTGTTTAACAGGAGGTAAAGTGCTCCAGGAGAGCAAAGGGAAGGTACAAGAATTTTCATGCTGGTATCTCATATACAATGCAAGATATGATTGAGGCCTCTAGAAGCTATCAGAAATCAGTGCAGTTACATGCATTGATTTAAAATATGCTGAGGGCCCAGCACGATAGCATAATGGTTAAAGTCCTCGCCTTGCATGCACCAGGATCCCATATGGGAGCCGGTTCTAATCCTGGTGGCCCCACTTCCCATGAAGCTCCCTGCTTGCGGCCTGGGAAAGCAGTTGAGGACAGCCCAAACCCTTGAGATCCTGCACTCAGGTGGGAGGCCTGGAAGAAGCTCCGGGCCCCTGGCTTTGGACTGGCTTAGCTCCAGCCATTGCAGCCGCTTGGGGAGTGAACCATCAGACAGAAGATCTTCCTCTCTGTCTCTCCTCCTCTCTGTATATCTGACTTTACAATAAAAATAAATATTTTTAAAAAATAATAAAATATGCTGAAATCTCATTTTCATTTGGTGCTTTACTCTGCAGAGCTGTCTTATTCAAGGTCTTCCAGGACCAGAAGATTACCTGCTTCCATTGAGACCATTCATATCATGCTGACTTGACCCTGGGTTGCACAGTCTCTCTCCTGCTCTCCGACTGCTGTTGCCAGACCTTACTGCCCACCAAAAGCACTGACACTTCTTTCACTCATAAAGCCCATGCAGGGAGGCCTTGGTGCATGAATAAACGAACTGCAATGTGCGTGTTGCACAGCTTTATGAATCAGTTTCTATTTTGAAGACACTTTAGCAGAACTTGGTATTTCAAGGAAACTTTATAAGAATCCCTTTTCTTAATAGCATAAACCATACTGACTTAAGATCATAATCTCTAACAGATTAGATGATGAAGTCTCATGTTTTTTTCAGAATTGTTTCATTACTGCAAGATAAAACTATGTTGAATAACTTTCAGCTTTATGAATTATTGTAGAAAAGCTTAAGTTATCATAAGATAGTAGCTTAATGACTCAAATCAGTGTCAAATTATCCAAAGAAAACTGAAAGACAACTCATTAGGGGCACATTGCTATTATCCATATTTTTCTAAAGAAAAGAAAACACCCACACACTGTGAAGGGAATCAGAATCTGTTTTTAATATCCCTTGAGTTATAAACATTTGTATCAAAATATTTACAATTATAGTATAAGAAACAATCTATTGATGAAGAAGCCAAATACAGTACTAGAACACCCCACCAATGTAATGCAAATTACATGAAACATAAATGTCACAGAAGAAAAAAGTAAAAGACAAGGGAATGTATGGTTAGTTCGGTCATGGTTCAACTTTTTAACAAAACAAAACTAATTTTTCAATACTTTTAATACGTAAATATGCTTCTGCACTAAACAGAATGTGACTGCACTACAGTCATGTGATAATGACATCAAAGTTATAAAGTTCAGTCTCCCACAGTTTTTGCTGGCCACTCTCTCTACCACAGCCCAAGTAATTTAGTGGCCTTTCCTCAACATTCCCTTAACCAGAATAAACATAAAGAAAATGTACTTAGTAATAGTCCCTTTACATAAATACCAGTAATTATGGTATAATAACTTCCCAAAGAAACAAAGGTCTGTAAGAAGCATACAAGGAGAAAGCTAGAGGCAAATAGGCAAGATGCTTCAGATTCTCCCCAGGGGCAGATCTTCTCAGGGTGACCAAGGAAACATCTTCCTCAAAACACCCTCTATGCAGAATCTGAGATGATTTCAAACAGCTGCCCCAGGGCAGGACAAGGCCTGCCTAACCAAGAATGACTTACTACTTCCAAGCCCCGTTTAGACATGCTTCTGTAGGCCCAGATGGTTCAACTACCATCCCACTGGGTACCTCAGACTTTTTACTGTAAGAAGAAAAAGGAAATATCCGCCCATCACCTACATTTTTTTAACTGATCTCATGGGATTTTCTCATTTTCCTGGGGCAGGCACTCTGTTCTTCTTGTGACTGAAACATTATGATTAATACGTCGCAATTACATAGCACCTTTCACCCAAGGATCTGTTGTTTGGTTTTGGTTTGTTTGTTTTTAATCAACTTCCCGAATTGCGATGCCTCCCCTGTTAAAACAGGGTAGGAAAGATCTCTGAGAGGTGAACACTGTCATGTGGCACAGCTAGCTGTCCCTGAGCCTAGAAGCTTTGATTCCCAATATGGATAACTAGACAAGCGACCTCAGGAGTTTACCATATAGAGGAAGGGTAACAGAATCCTGTAACAAGGGGATGTGTCCACCTCTCTCCCATTACAGACTTACAAGAGACATCAACGGCACTGAGGGGAATCCTAAAAACATAATCCTAATAGAGCACTGGCAAGACTGCCCCTTGGCGCTTAGTTTGTGCAGTGCCTTCACCACGGAATTGGCTGCAATTGGCTCGAGGAACTCTAGAAGAGCTGGCTTTGCTTTGAAGCAAGGGGTCTAGAAAAGCTCACGGCAAGAGATATCCACAAAGGACAGCTATGTGTGAAGTCTGGTCTGGGTTCTGATCATCACCCAGGCCGGCCTTCCATGGTGAAAAGTTCTTGGTTCAGCTAATCCATAATTTGGCCTTATAAATCACCTCTCTTCCCCCTGTTTTGTCAAAAATGCCTCTGAATTTTACAAAACTAAATAAAGTCCTGTTCTTAAAAAATAATAAGCCAATGGCTCTCTGGCCAAAGGCGTTTTTTGGCCTTTCCATCGCTGCAGACTGGAATGTGATGCTTGACTTGGGATCAGAGTGCGGAATGGCTTCCAGGCTTCACGCATTCAGCACAAAGACGAGAGGTGCTCTTACCAAAACTTGTACCGCTATTTGAACTTGGTGTAGTAGGTTTGCAGGACCTCAGTGCGTGACCCAGAATGCACCCTTGGAAGTAGAGCCAGTGTTGCAGCAGCTGACGGGCCCCAGGTGGTGTGTTTAGCTAAGAACTACAGAGGCCAAGTCTGGTGACCGGAGGGAGGCTCTCTGGCCTGCACGATGTCCTAACCAACCACGTGCTCCCACGAGCTGGGGCTTGACAGCAGACAATATCCCAACCAGAGTTTGGGTGTGGGCCTTTCCTCCCCCAATCCTTTCCCTCCCCCCTCCCCACTCTTGTTTTTCCTGCACAACAACTTCCACTTCCCTCCCAGATTTGACTGCTTCCTCCTCCCCACCCCCCAGGTGCCCATACACTTTTTCAGCCTTATTTCTTTCTCAGGACCAAGTAGAGAATACCAACAACAAAGGAAAAACAGAAGCAGATCCAGGTCAGGATAAAGGAATAGCCATGATGACCGTTGCTACCGTCAAAGAACCTGTTTTGCTTAGAGACGTAACGGTTAGTGTAGATGGAGGCTCCGATCAAAATACACAGCCCTGCAGAAGGGGAAAACACATTGTTAGGCTTTCATTATTTTAAACATTTTTGCTTGTTTGACTTCAACATCAAGAAAAGGCTTTTACAAGTGTTAAAATATCCCACCTCCCTCATTGGCAACTGGGAAATAAACTCTGCAAATTGGCCCTGAATAGGAGTCTGGCTGATTTGCCCTCGATTGAGCTTGGGGTTATACCAATGAATTCAAGATGGCTGGGTGCTCATAATTGATCTGGTCAGAGTAAAACACAGGTCCTCCTTGATACCAGGTCGCTTGCCTGAACCCCAACCTATCTAGGCAGGTTACTCAGGGTTATAAAGGAATATGGGTTCCCACCACATGGGGTATACAAAGGGAGGAATGGCACAGGATACAAAGGGAGACATTCGTGGGCACTGGGGCAATGCTCCTGTCTGTATGAGGACTCCCATCTTGCTGCTTTTTTCAACCTTTGTGTAGATAATGGCTAGCAATGGGTCCCAGCTGCTTGGTAGCTGCCCAAGAACACTTGTTTTAGACAGTGAAGCAGATGAGGGGTCTTTATCCAAGCAACCATCCATGGTTCTCCACAAGGGAACAAATAACCAGAGGAGAAAAGTGCACAAGGCAGGACCACTAAGCCATGTGCTAACCTGCATGTGTTACTAGGCACTGCCAAGGTAGAGTCCCTCAACAGCATCTGCTCTGTGTACCAAGCCTGCCCCAGAAATACTCACAGCACACCAGCATGGTGGCCCCTGTCAGGAAGAAGCGATTTCCCTTCTCCAAGGTGAAGAGCTGGAACACGAAGACAAGGAGGGAGATGACAGAGAAGATGATGGAGAGGATCATGAAGGCCTGTACCGCCTTGATAGCTCCTATGAACACAGAACAGGGAGAGCAAGGGTGTTAGACACACCAGGAGTCATGAGTCCCCACCATGACCACCCACGTGTCAGCCTCACATGCTGTTGTTACATGTACCTTCACCGCCATATAGCAGGCCTACGCAGTTACCATTGGTACAGTCTTTCCAGAGACCTACGGATGAGCTGATGGTTGAATTTGCAACCATCCAGACCTAAAACCAGAAGGACACAAAACATTGATTAGAAATGGACTCGCCGTTGTAAAGGGAAACAGAGAAAATAGAAAACTGGTTTACTAAATCTTCATCACTTATATCCCAATAAATACAAGGCTGAGAGTCAGAAGAAATAAAATTCTCAAACTTATTTGGGCTTCCCATTTCTCATAAGCTGACTACACACACACACACACACACACACACACACACACACACACACACACACGCACAATTAAAACAGGAAGTAATTCACACATAATGGCTCAAAATTCTAAAGTTCTAAGAAACAGAAACTCTGAGGAAATTGCTTTTAAGGGTGAAATCCATGAAAGGGTACTTCAAAATATTTATGGAAACTGGAATTGAGACCTAAGTTTATTTGGGAACCAAAAACAAAGTTTGGAAATATATGCACAGTGTTGTCATAATGAACATTTTCGACAGCATGTTGAAGAGCCCTGTGCACTCTGCCATGACTGCTTCAGTTAAGGTCATGGCTAACAACAACAACAAAAAAAAGTCGAGGGAAAATGTCCAAAGAGCAAAATGGAACCACAAGAGCTGCTGGGAAAATAGTAGAGTCTGAGTGGTCAGATTTCCCTCTGAATGGAAGGGTCGGACTTTGACCGTCACTGCAGCACAGTCATTTCAGAGTGAAACAGTGCAGCAAGAACACCTGAATGAGGAAGAGTGACCAAAGGTATTCCCGCAGCCCTGAGCCAGCACCCCTTCCTGCCCAACCTGAGGGAAGCAAGTCCTCTGGGAGAGCACAGCCAGGCAGGTGCTGTCCACATGCACGCACGTGCATGCTCACACACAGAGCAGAGCCATCGACATGCAATTACCCGTTCTTCACTCAACACACAACTGCGTGCCAGGCCCTGTATTAGCGGCTGATAATTCACAGATAGGAGGTGTGCTGGCATCCACTCACAGACTTTGAAGAAGTTTATCCGGCCTCTTATCCAGAGACACATAATGTTGGCAAACAGAATGGCGAAATTACAAAATCCCTGGGAGGCCTCATGGGCAGGGTGGTATCTTATCTCAGTTAGGCTTAAATTAGCCTTGCTTAGGATCCCACCCATCCTTTGCTAAGCTCTGCTCCTCTCTGAATTCGAAAACCATTGATGGTTTAACTCTGGCAGGGATCTAAACAAACTTGGGAACCATAATTTATCCCCTTAGTAATTGGGGACCTATATTTTTTAAGTCCAAGGTGATTTTTTTCCCTCCAACCCCCCCAATCCCATTCCACCTGCCCCACCAGCCAGGAAAAGAAAAGCAAATTGGGCATTATTAACTACCACTAGAGGTCAGAGCAGCCCAAGGTTCAGACAGAAGCACATGTGGCTACCTCTGTAGAGTATTTTTGGTATTTGAGTTCAGTAGCACAAGGTTAATCTGGCAATGAATGAATTCAGTAGACCCAGGCTACTGAATTCACAGGTCTGGCAATCAAAGGCTCTTTCCTTTCTCTTCCACCCTACTTACTGGTTCCTAAAGGAAGGGACACACCGTATCAGCCACGAGGCTGTCCTTGTCTCTCAACAGAGCTTGCTCTCCTACCTGGAATGCTCCCTCCCACCACCCACTCTTCACTAAGAAGACCCATCTATCTACCATCCTTTTCTGGATACTAACATCCTGTGGCCTCTGAACAGCCACAGCCCCTGGCGTGATCCCTCCATGAACATTTGCTTTCGTCACCTCATTATTTGGTAGTCAGAAGTGAGAGCGTGTGTGAGTGTATGTTTTCCCAGAGCTAAGCCAGATGTCCTCACGGGGTAAGGGGTGTGGCTTAAACATCTCTGGTGGCTCCTTCTGTAAATATTCAGCAAATTCCTCAGCAGAAGGACACAACTCACATTGGCGATGGTCGAAACAAAGAGCATAACACAGGTGGCGATGTGGACCACAAAGATGGCAGCCAGTAACACCAACATCGTGCCTTGCTTGGTCACTTGTGAGTGAGGAAAGTTCTGCAAAGAAGACAAACAGGAACACAAAAGTTTACTGACATGCAATAAGATGATTCTCTCTTCCACAGAGGTGAACTTAACGTTACAATAAAAGCCATCACAATTCCATTATAAACCCGTAAAAACCACCTTGGTCCACCTCACTTCTAATATGTCCACATCCATATTCGTCTACTTACATATACCTAAATGTAATTCTGCTTATTCTCAGGGAATTATATGTTCATTTCTCTAATATAACCTATTGCTTTTATATCAATTATTACCATGCTATGTGTTAGTGTTTTAGAATCCAAAAACAGGACTTTGGTTTTTTGTGTTTCAGTTTTGTTTTAATAGTGTGTAATTTCCAGGTTTCTGTGAAACGGTGTCAGATGAACTTCCATTTTCCACTAGGGAAGTGCCCAGGCTCCTTCCATCCAACTGCTCAGCCAGCAGTTTTAATAGCAGTGAAGGCTTTTTCAGAATAGCAGCTATTACTCAATGCCCATACACTGAACAGGCTACTAATTTGATCCCAGGTGTGATATAAAATGTGATACACAACTTTTATTATTATAATGCTGTTTGGTATTCAATAATTACAACAACCTAATTACAGTTTAATGGTCCGATCACTCCTGATTGAACACTGCAGACTACTGTTATTATACCCGAGCCTTTGGGCTGTGGGTGCCTTGGGGCAGGGAAGCCGCTCTCCATCTGGGACAAGTGTCATGCACACCACAGCCCAGTGCGACACTTCTGGATCACCAGGGGTGTACAGCTTGAGTACCATCAATTGTCACTTTCTACTTGTGCATGACAGCTACACAGATGCCAGTCCCTCAGGACCTGATACAGAAGGCAGGTAAAGGTGGGGCGTGTGGCTGGGAGACTGGGAACTAGTACAGACTAAGATGTGCACGGACCAACAAGGCATGCTAGCCATCGTTTTAGCAGTTTGGTAACTCACTGATCAGAACTGCAGGATGTGAAGGCAGGATGAGAGATGCACATTGGGAGGCTCTTAGGATTGATGTGGGCCACAGAAGGAGCACTTGGTCATGACCCACACAGCTACAATGCAGGGCAGCTGAAAGGCACATGAAAATGGCAGGGCTGGAGGTGACTTGGCCCTAGCCAGGTGGATGAGTGGATGACCTCACCCTTGTGGGGAGGAGGCAGCTGGAATCATCCTGCAGGTCCCCTTCTTCTCTCTCACGCCACCTCATTTAATTGATGCTTTGGAGTACATTTGCACCACTTTCATGCCACGTAGGTATTATTACAGCATACTGATAGCATCATTCCAACACTTCAGGTGCCTTTTATCTCCTCTTGCTTTCCCTACCAGGCACTCAAAATCTAGAATGATGTAACATACACCAGCATGCCTTGTTCTTCCAGCAAGGCTCTGGCTTCCATTGTACACCGTGATGCTCACCAACAAGCCCTTCCCCATCTGAGAACACCCCTCCAACACAGGCTATTTTTAAAGAATGTGTCCAGTGTAACCGTAAAAGACAAAGGTGATAAAGTTGATCCTATAGCCCTGGCAGACTGGGAGAGCTTGGAGCTTTCATGGCTGCTATTAGTAACCACCCTGGCACATTCAAGTTCATTTTTGCTTTTCTCATGTGTCTGCATACCTCCCCAATTTTCTGCTTGAATTTAATACACAGTGAGAAAAGGTCTGTGAATCAGAACCAGATTGAGTTAGAATTGTTATTTGACCTCTGTTTTCATCTCCTCTAAGAATCAGAGGGGAAATGAACTGGATCACATATGGAGAACACCCAGCTCAGTACCTGGCCCATGACTAACAGTGGGGCTTCTCTGGTCACAGTTATTATCACTATTTTTCATCCATGAGCCCAGGTAGCTGCTCCCAATACCACTCAGGTACTCAGTCACCAGGCTTTGCTCTGTGAAGCACAAGAAGGAAGCCACCTGCTGTGCATCTCACCAGACGGTGCACATAAACTCATCTTCGTCCCCTCAGAAATGATCAATCTAAACCTTCTCTCATGAGCATAGAAAGGCCTAGGAACACACCCCAGGAGCGACCAGGAGAAAGGACACTCTTCTCAGCTCATCCTCCTGAGACCCCACACCTCCACATCACTCCATCACCATCTTCTTGCTCTGCCTAGGCAAAGGAAGAAGCTGACAAAAGGCCTTTGAATATTATGTAACCAGTATTTAGGTGGAATCCTCTTCAGGCACTTCAACTGACTGTCTTATTGCTTGGGCTTCAAGTTTACAAACCTACTGCTTCTAAGAGTGGGAATTCATTAAGGGGGCAAAGAGCCAGATAGAATACACCTCGGGAGGCTACTTACATAAGTACCAGGAAACACTGCGAGTTCCCTTCCCAACAGGCTCTGAGGGATTTGGCAGCTTTTCCTGTCTCCTTGTACTGCTCTGAAAACCCCTCTCGTACAGCCTGACTTCCTACCACTGGCATTCAGTCTCCACTTGGACGACCTCTCCCACTGCATCTCCACTAAGGCCTCTCCATTGGAACCCCCTACCACAATCCCCCAGGGCATGTGAGCTGCTGGCCCCATCTCACGTCTGATCCAAGCCAAGTCCCACCTGGTCGTTATTCCCCACCCATTGCAGGCTGGAGGAGTGGGTGGAGAAATAAAGCGTAAAAGCAACCCTTTCATCTTGGAGTTTTGTGATTGTACTGTGTCTTTCTACCATGAAAAGAAGCGACATGTTTTGGATTAGTTAGTGCTTTTACTGTACACAATTCTCTCTGCTTTGGCTGCAGTCAGAAGTAGAAGTTGTTTAGCTGGAGCTATTGCATAATACTTTAACTTCATATTTCCACTGTCCCAAATTTGTCAGGTATTATCACTGTCATCCACCATGATTTTCCATGGCTGTCCCTCAACACATTTGGAAAAAGAATGATCTAATTTTTCTTAAATGTTGCTGCTGAATCATTCCTAGTCACCCCATCTGTAGGAGAGAGAGACCCCTGGTACCTACTGGATGAGTGTGTGGGATCCTATCAAATAGCAGAGTAGAAAGGATATAGACAACAGAAGGTCCCACACTCTAGAGACGTGGTGATCTACCCATCCATGGTGACACAGCTTGCAAACAGTCTCCATCCCTGCCCCTGTGGGCATCTGGTCTCATTCAAAAGCGCTGAGAAAAGATTCTCTGGCATTTCTATCACTGGAAGTATTGGCTGTTTCAACTTTCTTAACAGTGTATTTACTTCACTAAAATAGTAATAGACATCTCCCTCATACCTCTATAAATAAGTGCCTCTCTGCGATGGAAAGCATGCCTTCAGTCCTAACTGGGTAGCTCAAACAAGGAGGCAGCAAATGATGGTGCTGTGATGCCGACCACTTCAGTGCAACACTTGTTTTGCAGAGAATCTGGTGTGCTGGGCAGTCCCAAAGCAAGCTGACACTTGTTGGGAATGTCCCCAAGCAGCAGCATTATCGGTGCTCTCTTTTCCAACCTGATGGATAAGCCTGCCAGTTCCTTTCCCACACCTGTCATCTCTGGCTTCTGGCCATGTTTCTTCTTTCCTTCCCACAATGCCTAGGCCACGCAACAGCCATGGTTTCTATATGTTCCTATCTCTAATGAGGGCCTCACCACCACAGGCGATCCTGTATCTGAAGTTCTTTATTCACAGGAGTTTTATTACAGTTAGTAAAAATGACCTTGAGGACTCAAACTACTGATGATTGCAGCTCCATGTGACTAGTGAACAGGGAAGGGGCAGGAGAAACATGGTAGGAGATGACCATCTTCTCTAGGTGCTGTTATCCTCCTGAATCTTCATTGACTTCCTGACACCTATTCGGGGTTAGAGGACTCTGAGCGCTGAGGAAAGCAGCCAGGCTGCTGTGAGAAGCCCTTCTGTTGCTGGAGGGTAACTACTTCGCGAGAGATGTTGCGAATCACCACAGTGGCATGTTCAGATTCGCATGCTTGGCTCCCTGCTTGCCAGGAGAGGGACCAGGTGACTTCCCTTCCTTCCCTGGAGCCTGCATGTGTTTACTGAACTCCTTCAGGGAGTGGTCTATAAAAGTGGTCTCCGGCACCATCACTGGGAACAACACACGAGGAAAATGCACTTGCAGCAAAGCAAGTGGCAGGACCTGCAGGACTTAAGTCACTGAATTAGCAAGAGCCAGGGCTGCGGATTCTATGAATAGTTCAGGAGTCTCATAGAGTTCAGATTCCCTAGCCTCAGGTGAGGGGGGTGATATCCTCCCAGACAGAAGAGGGAGACGACACAGAGGGCTCTTCAAGAAGTACACGGCTGCACTGCTACAGCCAGGCTCATCAATCCCTAGGAGACAACCCAGGCTTCTCTGGAGAGAAAAGAGCCATGCTGGCCAGCTGCCCAATTCTCTCCTTTTCCGTCATCCCATAGTTAAGTCACAGGTTTGAACGCCATCACTTCCCCCCTCCAAGTCTGACTGTCCAACTCAGCCTGGTCCTGAGTACTAGCTCCCACTGTGCACTCCTCTCCCTGATGCATCCCCCTTTGATCTAGCCTCTATACCACACCTGAGTTACCTGACCATATCACTCCTCCACTCAAAACTTCCAAACAGCCCCCACCCACCACAACGCAGACCAGAAAAGAGGCCCCAAACCCCTCACATTGGCTCTTGGAATGTAAAGACCTTCATTTCCATATAATAAACACCTTGTTTGGGGCTTCTTCCTACAGTAATGTCTATTAAGTTCTTTTCTGTCAAGTAAAACTCCTATCTTCTCTGAGTCTTCCCAGATGCATAGTTTGGCCTCCACCCGTTTCCCTACTAAGCTCCTCCCTTCATGTTGCTCTTTATTAAAACCAATGATGGGAGAAGACATGATGGGTTAAGCATTCCATATCAGGGCAGGGCTTGGGATTGAATCCTGCCTCTATTTCAAACCAAATTCCTGCTAATTGGAAACAGGAGATAATGATTCAAGTGTTTGTCCATGATGCGCAGTAAACATATAATGTCAATGAACAAATCAATGAA